TTTTGGCTGGTGGCACCACGTAGCAATTAATTATTATGTGTCTTGTGGGGACTTGGTTTGGTATCTTATATAACCTGGAGCTTCACCTTTTTACTTCCTGTCAGCTCAGAATCTCCTCATAACAGCTTATCTCAGAAGAAATTTATTTTTTGTCTTTGTTTCCAAGTCAATTGGACATAATGTAGATTATCGCTATTTTTTAGAAAAAAATATTTCTGAGGTACATTTTCCTTTTATTGGTTTACCAGCCAAAAATTATGCAAATGTATGAGGTTTTACGATTCTAAATATTTGAAAAACAATTTCTTCCTCAGTACCGTTACTGCCTCACTAAATGTAGTAACGCCAGTCCATGGGAATTGAGGCTACTGCATTTCTCTTTATTCTTAAAACTTTTTTTTCCCCAGAATAATCTAAATCTGCCAGCGACACATTCATTGTTAATACAAGGAGGTTTTCAGAGAATATCCAAGTTGTGTTTTTGTAACTTACTCATTTGATGGTCTGGACCATTTTAAATCTGATTTGTTTGGTCCAGAAAAGAGACACGCCTCCTAGACATAGACTTTATAGTTAGTTCTCAGACTCTGTAGTGTCTATTTTCCTTCTTTTTTTGTTTACTAGTCACATTGGAATTTAGCAGTTCCCTGTTCCTGCTGAATACATTGTTTCTTTTTGCAGAGGCAGACTTTACCTCCTGCCACTCTGTCAGAGCAATGCTTTCTTGGGGTAGTGTCTTCCCAAAGCAGCCTTTTTGTGTCTTACATGCAAATGCCTATGACAGAGTTTGTGACATACTCATTAGCATTCCTCTCTGATGTAGCTATCCTCTAGGGATGAACTCCCATAATACATCGCCTATCATTTAATACAGGGGTTAGGGGAGCACGTGATAGCCAACTGAGCCCCTTTTTCTGACCAAGACACACAAATGTTGCCAGGTTAGGAAGAACCATCCTGACATTTACCTAGTCTCCACCCAAATTGAAATACTGTTGAACCAGAGATTCGGACTAGACTTCCTCTGGTCCTCTTCTACTCCATGCCTCTTCTTCCTCTACACTCCAACATGTAAAATAGCCTTAGTTCATCCCATTCTGATGAACTTGGCCAAGTGATCATCCATTTCCTAAGTGGTGAACAAGAGAACACAGACCTTGAATCTGGCCATCTCTAGCATGAAATGCCATTATCTCTTCTAATGCTCCAGCTGCTCCAGTTTCTCCTGGCCCTTCAGTTCCAGTTGCCGTTGTTCCCTCTGGCTCTTCAGTTCCAGCCGCTGGTACTCCCTCAGGTATTGGTGCTCTGGCTATTGCTCACTCTCAGCCTTCCAACTCAGAACATGGGTGAAATTGACCGCTGATGCTGGATCTGGAGCTGTCACTTCTTTTGATTGTCCTCAGAAATTACCTACACAAGCAGCTTAGTCCTCCCACTTGGGGTCTTCTCTTTGGCTTTTTGTCTCTTATGCAAATCTAATTCTGTCATCTTAGCTCCTTTTAATTAGTTTCCTAACTTTTTCTTCTTTTTAATTCAATTAATTTTGAGCATTTGCAAATTGCTTGGTAGTGTACCAACCACTGACATTTTTTTTTTTCTTTTTGGCAGTTTTACTAATACTTTCCATGTTTCTAATTGCCTTCAAGTCTTTGGTTATATAAACAAAGTAAATATTATGACAGGCTTCTGTGATCATAGAATACTGGAAGGAGATGGACTTTAGAGACCATCTAGTCCAACCTCCTTATTTTTATGTTTAGGAAATAAGGCCAAGAAGGTAAAATGACTTGCTTAAGCCACACAACTTGTTGATGACAAAGCCAGACATAGAATTTTGGTCTCCTGATCTCACATTCAGTGCTCTGATTCTTTTTGGTGAGGATTAATTCTGTGGATATCACAGTTGCCAGCCACAGCGACAAGCTTTCAAGTAGAGAGTGAAGAGCCCATTACCTAAGAAGGCCTTGTCAAGGATCAGTATTGACCCAGAGCCACTAGGACTTGGAGCCACCTGATAGTTTGGTTTTTGTTTTATTTTAAAACAAATGAATGGAGCAAATCCTAGTATTCTAGAGAGCATGCTTAGAAAAGTATTTGTCAGATTTGAGTATACTTCTGAATAATGGGGGAACTTTCACAAAAATATAGAGGCTCAGGCCCTGCCTAGACCTGCAACCCCAGTCCATCAAGGAATAGCCTAGGATGTGTGATTACAGTTTTCCAAATGGTTCAAATATGTTTTCTCAAGGCATCTATTTAAAAGGCAGATTTCTGGACCCCATTCCCAGGCCTACTATCCTAGAATTTCTGGAGATACAGTCCAGTCTTGAAGTTTACCAGTGATTATTATAGGAGCCCTGGTGGCACAATGGCTAAGTACTCAGCTGCTAAGCAAAAGGTCAATGGTTCGAACCTACCAGAGGCTCTGCTGGAGGAAAAGACCTGGCAATCTGCTTCCATAAAGACTTACAACCTTGGAAACCCTAGGAGGCAGTTCTACTCTGTCATCTTGGGTCTATGAGATGGAATCAACTGGATGGTACACAACAACAGTGACTGTTATGTACATTAAAATATGGGAAAACAATGATTTAAAAGACTCTAAGTCATTAACCAAGAAGCCTAGAGCAGTGGCTTTCAAATATTTGTTCACGACCCTTGGTAAGATAATATTCATCACACCCAAAACAAAGTTTCACAAATCAGTACTTATCCAAGTGCAGTGAATTCTGATATTTTCTACTGAAATCCACCCTTTTTCACTTTTTAATCAGGTAATTGAAACTTACTAATTGAGTTTAAAGCTTCTGTAGCTTGAAAGAAACCCAAACCCACTACCATGGAGTTGATTCCGACTCATAGTGACCCTTTTAGTTTAAGGAGCTCTGGTGGCATAGTGGTTAAAGCATTCGGCTGCTAACCAAAAAGTCAGAACTTCAAACCCATGATCCACGCCACGTGAGAAAGATGAGGTGGTCTGCTTCCTTAAAGATTTACAGCTTCAGAAACCCTACGAGGACAGTTCTACTCTGTCTTATACGGTTGCAATGAGTCAGAATCTACTTAAAGGCAGTGGGTTTGGTTTTGGTTTTGATAGTTTGAAAGGGTAAGGATTGAGATACGCTTGTTGATTCTATCACTGATAGAAGAGTTTTCTCTAGTTCTTCCACTTTTTCCAATTACTCCTGTTAATCCAATAACGCCTGGTGAGATTGCTTGCCTATCAGAAAGATACACTTCTGTCACAATCAGATAGTACTACAACTGCATAAAAAGTGAACTGTCCTTGTTTCCTGGACGTGGGTGATCTTGCCAACTCCATGATGATGTTGCCATTGTCTTGTATCAATCCAAACTCAACCCCAACTAAATTAAGTAATATGAAAAAAAAAAAAAAAGATGAATTCCTTTGCTTATGGAACCAGTGGTGATCCAAGAGTAGTTCAGTGCAGGTTTGGCTTGATTCCAGGCTTAGACAGTTTCACCTGGATCCTCATTAACTTGGTCTTTTCTGAGCTGCCTCTAGATGTGGCACATTTCAGCTGTCCCCTTCTGAGGGCAGCAAGACCCAAGCTTCACACTGGCCAGTTCAGCTGAGAAGAGGGCTTGTATCCTGAGAACAAATCTGAAATGGGCTGATACCACATGCTGTCTTTGAAACCAATCACTGTGGCCAGGACCCCATACTAGAGCTTGAGGGGTAGGGTCAAATGTCAGACAAACCACATGGCTGAAGATGAGAGAGGGACGATTTCCTAAAGTGAATTTGAGATAGCTCCCAGAAGCAGAAGGAATGGATGCCAGGCAGCAAATGGAGATGTCATTGATAGGCCAGATACTGTCATGTGCTTCCTTTTTTTCCTCCTATTGCCTTGGTTGTGACAAGTCTTTTCTTGCTGCTTTTCACACCTACCGAAAACAATAGTGTCCTGAAGTCCACAGTTTAAATCTCATTCGAAGTAGCCTCTGTCAAAATCAAGCACTGACAGCCCTCAAGGGGAATGACAATTTAAGAAATTGATTAAAGTTCACCACAGGAAGTAACTGGTTTTTCAATGAACATAAATAGTATAGTTAAGAGTGAACCAAGCTAGACAATAACTGCCAGCATTCCAACGTGCAGTGGACAAGCTTGTGTAATCTTTCCTAGAGCCCTTTAAATAGACTAAGGGGCTGAGTCTTTTTGGGAGGGATCTAAGCACAGTCAGTGTCCTAAAAATATCGAGTGACCACGAACAGATTAAAAGTTACAAAAGTTAAATACCAAACTAGAATCTGTTTGTTATCTCTCACAACAGCTTTATGTACTATTTAATACCCTTTTTACCTCAAGGCTTCTGTCACTAGGAAATCAGAATGTGCACAATAGCTATTTAATTACTTACTAAAGATAATGCCAATCTGTTGAAATGTTGAGGGTTTTGTTTTGTTTTTTTAAACAATCAACTGTAAAGAATGTTGCCTTTTAAATCCTTCTTTTAGCAATGCAAGGTTCTAGCATATTTGAAATAGTATAATGTAAATAAGCATTTCATACATAAGAGACTGAATCTGTCACGTTTTCTACATTGTCTTTGTCACAAAATGCTCCCAAGTTTTCTTAGCCTCATTGTACATGTGCCTTGACCCTAGGCTGTCAATTCTGAACTGGCCTAGGTGGTAGATTTTCTCTGTATGTATGTATGCTTCAAAAATCCATATTCAAAACATTTTTTTCTTAATTTTTTTCTATAAGAAAGACACAAAATAAGTGCCCTAAGGTATGTATTGTTTTAAGTTGGTCCATAATTTTGCATAAAAGCTTTAAATTCTCCCTCATGAATTTATTCTCTCCTAACAATATGCCCATTTCTAATTTTCTAATTTCTGTCTTTGGAAAGCTATAGCATTGTAGTTGCTTACGGAAACTAATCATTCTCCTATCCTTGACAGTGATTTCATGAAGTTCTGATTTTTATTATGAAGTTTTTTCATATACATTATTATATTTTGGTTTCTAGTGTGGCTTGATCTAAGAACCCAGTCTACTGTTGAGAATCTTAGTAAAAGAATTCCAGGAAATAACTTTGTCAAGGTAAGAGAGCTCTTCAAAATATATTATAAGACTGCTTTTTAAAAAGTTTACAGATTTTACTAGAAAAAATATTTGGGCCTTACATCTTATTACACAATATCTATTTGATATAGTTTATAGACTATTTCTCCATAGACAATGGAGGCTGAGTCCTTACTTTCCTTTCTTCCTTGCCCTTTGGTGGTTTTGAGCAAGAGTTTTCTAAGGTTGATGGATTGGTGGGAATCCTAATCCATCCCAGTGATTTAAGCCTTACTTCCCAAGGGGGAGGGGGCTTCTTCCTGTAATCAACTGTGCTTTCCAAATCCATCCCTATTGTTTCTACTGCCCACCAAAGAAAGTTCTGGGTGCTTTTGAGTTTTTAGGTACCTGGCTTCCGGGAGAGAGAAATTAGACACTTTTAGCCCTTTATTGAACTCTTTATTTTCTTCATATGGAGAAGGCTAGTTAAAATGGCCTAATTTTCAGTCCTTATGTAGATCTCTCTTCAGATAAATGAAGGGAGAGAGAATTTTTGAAAGAGGCACTGTATTTTTCTTATCAAGGTCTGCCAAGTTCTATTATCCAAAAGAAAGAACCTTTACTCTACTGTTTGGTTTATCTCTTTTCATTTGTCAGTAGGACTACTTACTATAGCATTTTCTTTTAGTTCTTGGTTCTGAAACTAGTATTCAAAACCCATTAACTATAATAAAAAGTTAAAAGAAAACAAACAAACAAACAAAAAAAAACATTAACTGCAGCAGTCTAACCAATCATTCCCCATCCTCCCCAACCCCACCATAACTTTATGCTTGTCCTGAATATAAACTCTTACTCATTTCTATTTGGTTCTCTTTGTAACCCGGACCTACCTCACCCCCACCTCCAGACTCACTCTGCTTCAGAGGTGTATGTTTTTCTCTCTGATACCATTTTGGACAACCTTTATACTTTCTACCTGAATTGTGAAAAATAGATATTATGTGTACTACCTCATTATTGACTTTGTGGGATCCCAGGTCATCTTGTAAGATGACTCTTGATCCTTCACATCTAAGAATTTCCCTTATTTATTTCCTTTCATTATTTTTGAGTATTAATCCAATGTTTTTGCACCCTAGGAAATCTACAAAATCTTGAGTTAAGATTCTTAACTTACAGATTGTATTAATGTATTAAATCCTTTGGTTTGAGTTTTCTTATGAAATATATCCATATGAGATAGAAGGAAAAAGAATTACATTTTCTGTAGCATTTGATAACAACAACAACAAATGATAAATGAGGAGAATAGGGGTTAGGGGCTGAGAAAGATACTTATTTTTATATATATATTTTCTTAACCACTTACTTTTAGTCAACCTTTATAAATAAATTTGGTATTTAATATACCAACAAAAGTAAGATTTGGACCTGTTTCGTTCTCAAGGAAGACTGATAAATCCATTCATGTTTCGTTTTTACTCATTGACCTTTTTCAATCCACTTCTCCTCTGTTGATTGTACTCACTGAATTTAGACAACATGGAGCAGCTGTGCATTGCTTTTATCTGGTGTGTCTTTGAGTTCTACTATAATCTCCACTCATTTGATATAATTTATGCTATTTATAGTTATAATTATTTATGTATATGTACATACATATAACTATATATACACATGCATACTTGTTGCTGTTGAGTCTTACATGCTTTTAAATATAAAATTTTCTAGTTATGGTCACTAGTTTATGATTTAATATACTTTGATTGTCAATAGTTTAAATGTCATTTTTCATGGAATATAAAATGAAAGGCAGATTTTTGTACTAGGTTCTACATGTAATACTAATCTATCATAAAAGTTAACATCTGAGTTTTCACTATCTGGATTACAGGACATCATGTCATTCAGTTTTCTCTTTGCCTCGCTACGTGGATGATCTTTGAACTGCAAACATATCACCCTGATCTTTGCTCATTAACATGCTTTCCTGTGCCTAGAAATAGGAAACGTATTTTTATTCTTAGTACAGTGGGATTGCCTTTATGGCATCGAATATTTTGTGATTTGTTGAGTTTCTAGTTTGGTGGTTTTCTTTTAAACTATGATAAAATTTAACATGCTGACATGCTAAACATGTTAAACATGCTAACTTCGTTAACAATTTCTTAACTGTTGTAGTCCAAGACAGGCCTTCCACTTAGTACTTACTTCAGTGCAGTGAAACTTCGTTGGATCCTTGACAATGTACAAAAAGTTCAAAAAGCTGTTGAAGAAGATAGAGCTCTTTTTGGGACCATTGATTCATGGCTTATTTGGGTATGTTTGACTATAATGTACATGTGGAGATTTTTTCAGAAAAATATTTTAGACTACCTTGTCTACTCTCTGTTTTCTACTGAAAGCCCAGATTCTCTAGTTAACAACATTAAGAAAAATCACTCAAGAAACAACAGGACATCTAAAAGCCTCCATTTGAGAGGCACTTTTGCCTACTTCCTTTTTAATTTTTCTTGTCTTGTTTCAGTAAAAATGAAAGATAATTACCCAAATCCTATCTCATGACTATTATTCTTTGAATAAGTAATCTAGGTAGCTTTTCTCTCTGGCCTAAGGAGCTCTGGTGGCATAGTGGGTAAGGCATTTGGCTACAAACCAGAAGGTTGGCAGTTCAAACCCACCAGCTGCTCCACAGGAGGAAGATGAGGGAATCTACTTCTGTAAAGATTTACACCCTTGGAAACCCAATGGCTATGAGTTGGAATCGACTCAATGACAATGGGTTTGGTTTGTTTTTTTTTATTTAATGGTTTTCTCTTTTGTCTACCATACATTTCTTTCCCACTATCCATTTAATACTCGGAAGGAAGGTTGGACAATCTACTTCCGTAGTGAAACTGCCTCGGAAACCCAAGGAGGTGTCGCTCTGAGTTGGGTCCCACTCAATGGCGCATAACAACAACAGCCATTTAATATGATAAAACACCTAGATGACTTTTATCATTCACTTGCAACACTTCAAACACTTCCCAGATCTTAAAAGTACATGTTCTGTGGTTATGTCTCTCTCTTTTGTTTTTCTGTAACTTTTATTATAGACTTTTTCAAATTTACCCCAGAGTAGAGAGAATAGTGTAATGAGTCCTCTCCATCCAGGGGCCAGTTAGGGCAATCAGTAATCAACATATGATCAAGCCCATACTTTTTCTCCCCACAGATAATTTTAAAGCAAATGCTAGGCATATAATTTCATTTGCACATTCTTCAGTAAGTTTGTGATTATCTTTTTCAACATCCAAGGGAGAGCTCCAAGGGCACATTGTCCCTGTTCTCCCTTGTTGGATCCAGACAGCAACTATCGAGGAAAAAGACGCCTTCTCCGCCCTTCCCTGTGCTTTGCCCGAGCAGGTTGTGACTGTGCTTGTTACCAACAGTGTTCATATATGTCAGTTAGGGTTGTATGAGGAGCCTGGACAACTGCTTCTAACCAGCATAAGATGGAGAGTGGGAACCGTGAGCTGCGAGAGACTGGAGGAAGCACATTTTGGCTGGACTCCATGTGATGCTGTTTAGCCATTTTTGTTCCTTTCTTAACCTCTTATGCTTCCATATAGAGGAAAGTTCAGGTAGTAGAGGGCGAACCTTGGAGATTTTAAAGCTCTTTCGCCCAATGAGAATTTTAATTAAAAAAAAAAAAGTGATCAAACACCAAAAAAAAAAAACCCAACTCTAAACCAACCCAAAACTCCAGAGTTCTGTGAGATCCTTGAAGCTGTTATTTCCATTTATTTCCCCTTGCTAAATTTAATGACCCAGGAGGCATTTTTCAAACACAAGAGGATGAAAGCAAAACTGATTTTTTAGCTTAACCATCAACTAACTAGAACTGTCCCATCTAATGTAGAAGATACTGCAATATATATGTAGCTTTTGAGCACTAGAAATGTGGCTAGTCTGAGTTGAGAAGCACTGTAAATAAATGTAAAATAAGCACCAGATTCCAAAGACCAAAAAACCCAAGCCAAACTCACTGCCATCAAGTCTGTCCTGACTCATAGAGAACCCCTCTTTGGGTTTCCAAGGTGATATCACTACGGAAGTAGATTGCCCAACCTTCCTTACGAGCAGTCGTTGGTGGGTTTGAACCACCAACCTTCTGGTTAGCAGTCAAATGCCTAGGCACTACGCCACCAGAGCTCCCTCCAAAGGCATAGTCCCCAAAAAAAGATGGTAAAATGTCTGTTTTTGATATTGATTACATGTTAAAACGATATTTTAGATATATTCATTTAAATAAAACATACAGTACTATTAAAATTATGTTCCCCTGTTTCTTTTTTAATGTAGGTATTAGAAAATGTAAAATTAAATGTGACTCACATTCTGTTTCTATTGGACACCACTTAAAACTAGAAATTAAATAATTGCATTGTTCCATTATCCTGCTCTATGTACATTGCTGCTGATTATGGCCCTTGACAAAATGTAAATTAAATTGCAAACAAATACAGATTTAACACATCCTTTTTATTTTGTCTAGAGTTTGACAGGCGGAGCCAAAGGAGGTGTCCACTGTACTGATGTAACAAATGCAAGTAGGACAATGCTTTTTAACATTCATTCTTTGGAATGGGATAAAGAGCTCTGCGAGTAAGTTATGTTTTTCCATAAGTGTAGTTTTCCAAATTTGTTACCTGTTTATAACCTAAATCTTAACTATTTTCACATGTCAATGGATCACCAAAATTTACTTGTTGCTATGTCAACTGCAATATAATAGTCTATATTGTATATTTTTGTAAGAGACTAGTGGCTAAAGCACTTGACTGCTAACCAGAAGGCTGGCGGTTCAAACCCACCAGCCACTCCTCGGAAGGAAGGTTGGGCAATCCTACTTCCGTAGTGATACTGCCTCAGAAACCCAAGGAGGGGTCGCTATGAGTCGGGGCCGACTCGACGGCACATAACAACAACAACAACAATTATTGTATATATAACAAATAAGCAAATTAATTGTCTTGATTTTTCTTCAAGGAAGATTAGATTATTTTAGAAAAGCTTAATGTCCATATTCTTTTTAATTTTTGTTGAATTTATATAAAGTTACCATTCTGTTGGATTATTTTATCTATTGTTATTTAACTCTATATTCACATAGAATGTTGTTCACATTTGGCTTTATGTTAACATTTAAAGGTTTCCAGATGTTTATTTAAAATAGCGTTCTATACACAATAGTATCTTATGTTTTTCAGCTTTTTTGAAATCCCAATGGCGATTCTTCCAAGTGTTCGGAGTTCTTCTGAGATCTATGGCCTCATGGTAAAAAAGAAAAAACATTTATCTTTTCTTTCGTTTTTTTAAAAAAAGTCTTACTTAGAATTCAAAAGTCAATTGTGTTACATTTTATAGTTTAAGAGGTTTGTCACTTTCCTGTGAATGTTGGTAATATGTAAAACTAGAACTTAGTATTATTTAGTTTTATAACCCAGAAAAAAATCAGTCTTTTAAATTAACTACATAGGTGGCATGGGAATGTTTGACCCACTTTATTCTTATAATCTGAATAATTTTAGTAATCGTGACATCTGCTTTTATTTATAAGAGGGACTCCTCCTTACATTTTAGTGGTATTCTTTTTCCTGTTAAATCTCCTTTAATGGTCAAAACTACGTTATATATTTTATATCTTTGACAGCCTGAGCAAAACTTCAGCAAAGAGATGCCTTTTGATTGGTGATTTCTAATTAAACTAGTTTCCAGAATGGACATTTTTACTATTGGGTTCATTGAAACCCTAAAAAACAGTAGTTTCAGCAAAAAGTGTCCTCAGCATCATTGAGTATCCCTGATGAAACATCAGGAGTAAAAACTTGTGAGAGGACTGAACAGTGATTGAACACAAAAATCTGAAATTCATGATAAAGCTTAGAAATTGCAATATATACACACACACACACACCACACACACATATACACATATATACATACATGCACACACATATATGTGTGTGTGT